AGCCAAGTAGTAGTCTGTTACTTTGTTTGCTTTAATAATACTACTCAATATGTTTGTCACAGATGTTCTACATGCATTTCAAAGTCATAAATATTCGTTTCAGAAATCTCAAATAACCCAATAACAACAATAATTTTGCTGGGAATTGCAAATGCGACCAAAGTCTAAGGCATACTCCATGGTTAGAACGCAGTAAAACGCAACCAAATACACTACAGTTCGATAAATGAATGAAAGGGTACAGAAAAATATGCGAAGACCATGAGATACAAAACTTAAATGACTGTAAACGGAAATATATACTGGAAAAATGTATATAAGATCATTGTTTTGTATAGACATGAATATGAAAAAATATGTATTTTAATGTGCCACACATAGCTTGTATCTAAAAATGCGTTAGTGATAAATGCGTTTGTGATAACTTTTGTCAAAAAGAAGAAGAGTGTAGCTAAAAAGCATAAAAAAGTAAGATTTATTTACAAAAAATATGAAAACATCTAGAAAAATTCCTGTCTTTAACTAAGAAAAAAAATTTTTTTATTAACTAAACTACAAAGACATGTATTTGTGATTTGTATATTGAAGTTTGTCGTTTCAAGAATTTTAAAAGAAAAAGTGTTAATTAAATAGTTTATCTTATCTTGGTTTGCTAACAAAAAACAGGAATTTTAAAAAATTTCATAAATTCATTAGAATTTACTAGTTTTTCTTAGTTTTAACAAATCGTATTCATAAAGGAAATTAATATGCATCCTCGCACAAATAACATCCTATTTACATACATTCTATACATACACATATAGTACTTACCCTGGATTCATGGTTATGAATATGGAACAAGTTGGATCCAAACGCAACATTGTATCTTCAAAGAAGAATTTCACAACTTTTCTTCCGATCGCCCGTTGTATGGTTAAAATTTGCTGCGCTACTACAGACAATACTTCCAATTCGATTCGATTGAATTCATCGAAGCATGCCCAAGCGCCAGATTGTGCCAATCCCTTCAAAAGTGAATAAATAAAAAGGCATAAATAAATGAATAAAGAATATGAAAAATAAAAGGAATTTTCAAACGAAAGGAAAATAAATTTCAAAACCGAACAATATGGTCGAATGTAGTTGCTTACATGATATTTAATTTATGAGAATCTACAAGCGAATTGCATCTGGATGCTCTTTTATAACATTTATACTACGAGAAGTTAAAAAACTTAAAAAAAATTTAAAGATTGCATTTGATATTTTTTCCACAACAATGCCTATACCTATGGCACACTATAATAGGTTTAAAAAAAATTTGTATCAATATTAATTTTAATTTTTTTAAACGCAATATACGTTCATTTCATTTTTATTAAATGATTATTAATTTATTGATATGAGCAGTTCCATGAACAATAATATTAATAAATATGGATTTTATTTGATTGTTTTCCATATCAAGAAACAATAATAAAGATAGTACCATTTATTATCTATACTAAATTCAAGTTTAATAATTAAAATAATAATAAAAAAAGTTGAATTATTAGAAGTTATTTACTTTATTTTCATATATTTAATAAATATTTTTATTTTGTTTATTTATTAATAAACTATTTATTTTTGTAAATATACTTCTTAAAAATAGCTAAAAAGCAAGCGGTTTATGTTTAGGCGCAGGTAGGTTGAAATTTTTTGGATCAAATTATTGTTATAATAATAAAGTGAGTAAATAAATTTATATTTAATTACGATAGACATATACATGATAATAGTAACATATTAAATGAGAAATTTATCGCGATTTATTAACACACTATTTATTAATATGTAAATTTCAATAAATTATTTTAATCGAAAATCTAATAGCAAATAATTAAATAAAAGACCACATTGCAGTTGAGGGAAATTAATTTTCTAAATTAAAATCAATTCTGTGTTTGAACAAAAAGTGCTTCGTCCATTTTTCGGTTAACATAATTGACAGTAGCTTATTAAAACCAATTAAGAATTTTTTCAGCATGTTTTTTTTCTTTTGCTTACCAATGTTACCAAGAATTTCATCTCTGCACATTAATGCTCTAAAAAATTTGATCCGAGCACTTGAATTATGACGAACGCAGGGGATTATGCTTAGAGGTCATAAATCAACACTGCCAGTATTTTTCAGGCGGATATGATCGTTATTAGGGAAGCTATAGCTCGCTCTAACTTAAATCTTGGACGGTTTGTGAGGCATTTTCATTGAGGTGTCGAAACATCTTTATATTTCTGTTCTTTGGGTTCCCGGTCATAAGGATTGACGAAGTACCTTATGTACTTATCCGGAATATTTAAAATATCTGGATATATCGCCGGTCTCTTACAAACAGTTATTGGAATCTTCCTGTAATCTTCCTGTTTTATTAGGAAAAAATCTTTTCGAGACAATCCGGAAAAATCGTGGTAGATTTGTTGATGAGGCACTGCCGTTTAGACAACCAATCTAGATGATTAAATATCCCATTGAATAATTCCTATCGTAGTTGTAGAAAATGAAAAAAGTGCGTCTTATCTACTTTATTACTATGCTCTCTGTGAACAGTATTTAAAGTTTTAACAGAGTTTTAATTGAATCTCTAGGACCGCTAGTAAAATCTAAGCTAACTTGAATTTCACCCATTCAATTCACACAAGAATTGAAGACAAGTCGAGATTCCTCTCAAGTCCAAATTCCGATAATTAGGTAACTTTTGCCATCTCCGTGTTCTTACCAATAAACACATTTTCTAATGGAAAGGTTTTTAAAAATTACTTTATTTGGAGCGAGAAAAATTCACTCCAATAAGCCGGACAGTCATAAAGAATGTGGCTTGACCAAAAACTCAATTCCAATCATAGAACATACTTTGTCACCTCAAACAGACTAACATCTTTCTGAGGTATCTGTTACAGGAAACTCGTCAACAATCTCTGGTTTGTCCTGAGGAGGGGTGTCTCTCATTATACAAATGGACAAACCAATTTTGTTACATTTCAAAACTTAAGACGATTAAGTTTTTTTATTAAACAACAAAGAATCCTCTGTTTAGCATTAACCGAACTCATTAATTAGGTGTTTTATAAAATTCGATTTATTTTTCCAATTGTATTCGAAATATGTATATTTCACTTTCAATATTTTATCATAATGAAAGTAATTAAAATAATATTTAGGTCTTTAATTTGAATAAAAATGTTTTGGATTACATATCTTTTTGTGAGCCGCATTTACTGTAATTCTAATTATTAAAGTATTATTATATTTATATTTCTCTTAATTATGAAGGTCCTTCTTATAAGATCGTTCAATATTTGTAAGCAATTTGCATAAATTACAATTATAAAAACACATAGAACAACTAAAATATTAAATATTAATATTATGCAAAATTTGCCACGCGTTGATAGTAAATGTGACAGCTCCCACTTAAAATTCAAACTCTTACAAATTTATTGGCACAAAATTTAAATAAAAACTGCAAAAATAAAATTTTTTTTTATAAAATATCAAATTTATTGGTTAATGACCCCAGTTTTTGGCAATGTAATATGCTGGAGTTACCATAAGTTGGTAAAAGTAAACGATGTTGTTGATAGAATCTATCATCTCCAAAGAGAGCATGATAACATGATTTTCTCTTGAAAAAAATAAACAAAAGTTAAAAATAAAAATCTAAACAAAAGTTAGAAACAAAATCTAAACTAATTTTTAAGACTGAACTAAAGTTAATTAATATTAATGGTGAAATGGCCAATCAATTTTTACTATCAAGTTCTGAAATCTTTGAAGTATTGAAGCTACTCAATTAACTCGTTAACTAACCATTCATAGTAGAAATACAATATATATTGAAAAATAAAACAAAGTCTGATAAAGACATGAAAAAAGAATAAGTATGAACTTGTCTTTTCATTAATGAGAATATGGGTAAGACAAAATCGTTCTCACCCGAACTCCACAAAAATTTACTATAAATAAAAAATTAATATGAAGAGAATTTATTCTGAACTTGTTGTTTCTGAAGTTAAGTTGTGTTAGGTTGCTAACAAATCGAGAAGAAAAATGGTTGGTTTTAATAAATAATCACATTATTTTTACAATAATTTGTTTTTTAATTAAAGTAATAATTAATTTGTTTTCTATTAAACTGCAGAAATTTCTTATAGCAGCATTAATGTGCTTAGCTGTAGCAACGGCTTTTGCCATTGATACACCATCAAATGAATATCTACCACCAGTTGCAGTTGCTCCTGTTGAGGAAGCACAAATAGTGTTAGAACCACAAGAATCAGCTGCACTTGCTGATGATGGATATCGTTATAAGGTTGTACGTCGCGTAAAATATCGTCAACGTCGCGATGTCAATGAGTTACCTTCCAATGAATATCTACCACCAGTTGCAAGTGCACCTCTTGAGGAAGCACAAATTGTGGTAGAACCACAAGAATCAGCTGCACTTGCTGATGATGGATATCGTTATAAGGTTGTACGTCGAGTAAAATATCGTCAACGTCGCGATGTCAATGAGTTACCTTCCAATGAATATCTACCACCAGTTGTAAGTGCACCTCTTGAGGAAGCACAAATTGTGGTAGAACCACAAGAATCAGCTGCACTTGCTGTTGATGGATATCGTTATAAGGTTGTACGTCGAGTAAAATATCGTCAACGTCGTGATGTCAATGAGCTACCATCCAATGAATATCTACCACCAGTTGCAAGTGCACCTCTTAAGGAAGCACAAATTGTGGTAGAACCACAAGAATCAGCTGCACTTGCTGATGATGGCTATCGTTATAAGGTTGTACGTCGAGTAAAATATCGTCAACGTCGTGATGTCAATGAGTTACCTTCCAATGAATATCTACCACCAGTTGCAAGTGCACCTCTTGAGGAAGCACAAATTGTGGTAGAACCACAAGAATCAGCTGCACTTGCTGATGATGGATATCGCTATAAGGTAGTACGTCGAGTAAAATATCGTCAACGTCGTGATGTCAATGAGTTACCTTCCAATGAGTATCTACCACCAGTTGCTAGTGCACCTCTGGAGGAAGCACAAATTGTGGTAGAACCACAAGAATCAGCTGCACTTGCTGATGATGGATATCGCTATAAGGTAGTGCGCCGCTTAAAATATCGTCAAAGACGAGTTTAAATAAGTATTAAAATATTTAAAACATTCAAAACAAAACGTACTGACGCTTATAATATGACAAATATATAAAATATTATCAAGTATAAAACCATTGGTTTTTTATTTTCAATTACCTTAAAGAACTTTCCTAAAGCCTTGTAGTCTAAGCCATCGGAACAGTTGAAAACTACGCATTTCTTAGCGACGGCTTTGGCTAAATCTTTGCATGTTTCGGTTTTACCAGTGCCAGCTGGACCCTCTGGTGCACCTCCTAAACATAGTTTTAGCGCACCCATCAAAGTTCTATAAAGAAAAAAATTTTTAATTCAAAATAAACAAAAATAATAGAAAAGCATCTGTAACAAATGAAATCACAATAAAACGGAGCAAGTAAATTGGCAAAAAGGTATAATTCCGCTCAAAGCCTAAAAGTAAGCATTTATAGTGTGGACGTCATTTTAATTTTTTTTCTCTTGTGCAAATATATTTGTATTTTTTTAAAATTTGAAAACAAAAAATATATGACATTTGTTCTTTTTTCCGTTTTATTTTTGCCAACATTTTTCGGTTTCAGTTTCCTTTTACACGAACTCATACTTGTATCCTGTGCATTGCACATTTCGTGCCTTGAGTGTTTGTGCAATGTCAGACATTGATTTATTTGTTTAATAATAAAAAAGAAAAGTATTATCTGAAAAGCCATTAAAAAGGTTTCCATTTTTGTAGGTTTTTATGTGTTGTATTTTTCGGTTTTAACTATATTCGGCAGATTTATGCCGAATATGTCTATAAACATGCATTTCTGAAAATTCAATTTTAATGGATTTAATTCTGCTTGTTTATTTTGTAGGAAAGGCGTGATGTAGGTAAATTCCAAACACTTACCATAAAATTTTTTATTTTAAGCATTACGACTATTTACGTAGGTGTTGTTCCGATTTAAAATATTAAAATATCATATATTTTTATTTGTTCAATATTTACCTATAACAACGATCGGTCAATGGAGTAACAACCAAACGCGGTAAATTGCCAAGGTATTCCAAACCATATTTAACATCTGTTACAACCATACTGACACAGACGTATTCTTCTTTTTCTATGTTAAAAAAAAAACGCATCAAAACATTTAATAATTTCAAAAGATATATATGAAGTGTTATATATAATATTATACATATAGTAAAGCTTAGAAAAATTATTATGGTCAATTTAAATTGGAAAAATATATTAAGAGGTAATTGTTTAAATTTGATTATATATTGCAAAAGAGAGCTTATGCTGTAATTAGCAAATTAAAATTAGTAATTTATTAAATAAGTTACTCTAAAATGTTTAAAATCAGTGAGCGAAAACAAACAGTAAAGTACAAAACATAGTGTAGTTTTGTATATTTGTTAAAAACTCTAAACGAAGAGTATGCTATAAAAAGTACATTATAAAATGTTCGCGTTGTGTTCTTTTCCTCGAAGTTAGTGATCTTTTTAACGATCTTTTCCCGAAAGTAGTGTATATTTAGTGTTCTTTTAGTCTCTATCGAACAAAACGATTTGGATATGTATTGTTACAATAAAAACAATATATAATCATTATATTGTGTTATTATATCAAGTTAACTAAAGTTACATACTCTCATTTTCATGCCAATAATATCGGAGCTGAGATATCCAATCAAATTCATGTATTGATAATACATTTAAGTCACTGATGGCCTTTACAACATCTCGAGCTAAAAACATGTAAGATTTGATTGAATTGGTTTAATGCATATAAGTTCTTTTGTATATACACACCATGTACATCTAGAACAATAAGAGCCTCAACAGTTATACGAAGTCCACTCTTTAAATCTAAACGCACTAATCGTACGAGATCACCAATTTGTGCAGTACTTTTTACAACATATGCTGGTAGTGACTTCTTTTCTATGGCTTCCTCTACCTGTCAAAATAAAAAAAAAATGTAGATAGTTTATATCGCAGAAAATTTATCTAAAATATTAAAGCGTTTTGCATTTCCAAATTTAGCTTGTTAAAAAAGGTTTGAAATATTTCTTTTAAAAATGTACTGATAGTTGTGAAATACAAATCAAAGCTTAGAATCTTAGGATATTTACATATTTTTATATATTATACACGAGTATTTACCTCGTAAGTCCAAGCCATACATGATATGCCTTGTACAACTTGTCCAGGCCATGATGTCACCCATCCAACACGATCACCTTGATAATAATCTTCCCAAGCTTTCTTTAATTGATTAAGAACACTGTCCAACATAGCACCTTCGACTTCTTTTAACCACATTTCCACTAAACCCTACGCTTATAAATAATAAAATATTATTAATAATATGTATATAAATATACACATACATATAAATATAATATATAATATTACCTTTAATTTTTATTGAGTAAATTATAAAGTAATAAATTTTTGGAACAATTTTACTTACATTAGCAAGAGCTGGATTAATTTTACGCACTAGTGAAACACGTTCCATTTCTTCGGAAACCAGTTCAGTGATTATACCATTCTCATCGAATGTAAGAGTAGCAATCTATATATAAACAATTCAAAAAGCTTGTAACTTAAAGCTTGTTTTAAAAAATTATTTACTATTTTTTAAACACTTTTTATTTCGGTACATTACTTCCTATAATATGATTTACTATAATATGATTTTCATAAAGGTTTTTTTAAAATAATAAAATACTAATAATATATCTCGCTTAAGAGGTAAGAAGTAAGAAAACGGATAATAGAAAAATTAGTTGATAAAATAATTTGTTAAATAATTTGTTTTTGTTGATGTACAAAAGACAAAAAAATTTTTTTTAAAATTATTTCGAATAAATAAGATTTTTAGCAAAAATGTCAGAAGTATTAAAAAACAACGTTTTTGAATTACTATAATTTTTAACTCTATTTGCGTACAAAAATATGTTAACCATTGAGTTAACTTTAGCTGCTTCAATTAACTAAATCGATCATATTAAATGGTTTTCCTTCGCCCAAACAAATTTGTTAGTTTCTTAGGCCAAAAATCCACTTCTCAAAATATATGCATTTAAAACGATTTTACATTTCTTACAATATTTTATAAAATTTGTTTACTTACTCCTTCGAAACATTTCTTCAAATGTGGTTGTACACGTTGTGGATCTTTTGTCTCCGATAAAATTTCCAGTAATTCATCATTAGACAAGAAAAAGAATCTTGCAAA